GAGAATCAATTTAATGTTAGTCACGTCAGTACAATTGGCGTTGATTTTAAAATTAAAAATATGGAAAAGAATGGAAAAAAAGTTAAATTACAAATATGGGATACTGCTGGTATGTGTAGATTATAAAATATATATTTGTAATTAATATATATATAAATATATAAATAATATAAATATAATATAAATAATATAATTAAACATATATAAATAATAATAATATAAATAATAATAGGACAAGAACGTTTTAGAACAATAACAACAAGTTATTATAAAGGAGCACAAGGAGTTATAATGGTATATGATATAACACAAAGAAAATCATTTGAAAATTTATCAACATGGTTAAATGATGTTAAACAATATGCAGATCCAAATGTTTCATTAATTCTAGTTGGAAATAAAGTTGACTTGGAAGATCAGAGACAAGTAACTGAAAATGAAGCAAATGAATGGGCACAAAGAAATAATATTTCTGTTTGTTTACAAACATCTGCTATGAATTCTTTAAATGTTGATGTAGCTTTTGATAGAGTATGTGTTATATTTTATTATTTTATTTTATATTTATTATTTAATATTTATTTTAATTTGAAATATTTTTAATTTTATTATTTTATAATATCAATAATAATAATAGATGGTAGATGGTATTTTTGAACATTCATTTGAAAATTCACTTTCAGCACCTAAAAAAGAAACTGTTAAAATTAATAACAATGATCAAGTTGTAAAGAAACCATCAAAGAGATGTTTAATTCTTTAATTTTTGATTATTATTTTAGATTTTATTTATTGTATTTTTATTAAATAAACATTTACACCAACAAACAAATAACAAACATTTTACTACTCTATCATTTTCACACAAATCACATGTGATCAACAACAACCTAAATAATACTCTCTGATGAATAATTGTTAACACATCAACAACACAATCTTACTTGATAAAAAAATGAAAAAACAATCATCTTCTCTATCGGATACAATAAGTACAACAACTTTCACCACTGATCAAAACAATAATCTATCTATTAATAATCATCAACATTCTCATCATCATCAACAACATAATGAAGATAATAATACTAGTAATATAACAATATCAAATATGGATGAATTATTATCATCACCTACTTTATCAACAACATCCTCTTCTTTATCTACTCCATCAACACCTTTATCTATTAATAATTTATCATTATTTTCATCATTATCTAATAATAATACTTATAATAATACT